TTTTAAACCAGGACCCCCCCCCCCCCTCTTCACATCAGAGTCACCCTTTGCATTTGTAGCTCCCCTTCACATCAGGAGCCCGCTCACATCAGAAGCACTCCTCACATCAGGAGCCCCTCTTTTACATCAGACGCCCCCTTCACATCAGAGGCCCCCTTCACACAAGGACCCCCCTTTCACATCAGAGCTCTCTCTTTCACAAAAGGAGCCCCCCTTTTACATCAGGAGCCCCCTTCACACCAGAAGTCCCATTCACATCAGGAGCCCCCCTTTCACATCAGGAGTCCCCCTTTCACATCAGGAGCCCCCCTTTCACATCAGGATCCCCCCTTCACATCATAAGCCCGCCTTTAACATCAGGAGTCCCCCTTCACATCAGAAGCACCCTTCACATCAGAAGCTCCCTTCACATCAGAAGCCCCTTACACATCAGGAACCCCCCTTCACATCAGAAGCCCCCTTTCACATCATAAGCCCCCTTTCACATCAGGAGCCCCCTTCACATAAGAAGCCCCCTTCACATCAGGAGCCCTCTTCACATCAGAAGCTCCCCTTCACATCAGAAGCCCCCCTTTCACATCAGAAGCTCCCCTTCACATCAGAAGCCCCCTTTCACATGAGAAGACCCCTTCACATAAGAAGCCCCCTTCACATCAAGGAGCCCTCTTCACATCAGAAGCCCCCTTTTCACATCAGAAGACCCCCTTTCACATCAGGAGCCCCCCTTTCACATCAGAAGCCCCCCTTTCACATCAGAAGCCCCCCTTTCTCATCAGGAGCCCCCTTCACATCAGGACCACCGTTTTACATCCGAACTCCCCCTTTATGTCAGGAGCCCCCTTCACATCAGAGTCCCTCTACCACAACATTTTGAGGAAGCCAGATGACGCACCAGGGTGCCATGGTTGTGAATGGCTGGACCAGATCCAGGAATGCCTATGAGGCTTTTTTTATCGTTCTGCCTCCTGCTGAGGCAATCACCAACCTCTCTGCTCACGGTGAAGGTTTTGAACGTTTCTTTAGAAGAGTTACAAAGTAAAACGATAGAAAGTTGAGAAATAATTGGGGTGGAGATCCTTTTGGCATGGCGGGCGTACCGAGGATCTGATCTCATGATCAAAAGCTCCAGTCCTGGACAGGGGCCACATAGGACCCTCTCCACCATAAACATTTCACATAGGAAGTCATATATGGGACAAAAACTCATCTGTCTCTCCCTCCTCTACAACAGTCCTTTTATTGGACCCTTATCTTTCTGTGCCTCTTTTCTCCATGACTGCCCATTATTTAGATCCAAATTCCTCTGCCTCTCTCTTTTACTTCTGTCTATCTACTGGAGCCAAAGCTCTCATTTTCCATTTCCTCCACAGCAGTCCTTCTGTTGGTCCATATCCCCCTCTCCTCCACAACAGTCCCTCTGTTGGCCCATATCCCTCTCTCCTCCACAACAGTCCCTCTGTTGGCCCATATTCCTCTCTCCTCCACAACTGTTGCTCTGTTGACCCATATCCTGTTTTCATTCACAACAGTCCCTCTGTTGGACCATATCCCCTCTCCTCCACAACAGTCCCTCTGTTGGACCATATCCCTCTCTCCTCCACAACTGTTCCTCTGTTGACCCATATCCCTCTCTCCTCCACAACAGTCCCTCTGTTGGCCCACATCCCTCTCTCCTCCACAACAGTCCCTCTGTTGGCCCATATCCCCCTCTCCTCCACAACAGTCCCTCTGTTGGCCCATATACCTCTCTCCTCCACAACAGTCCCTCTGTTGGCCCATATTCCTCTCTCCTCCACAACTGTTCCTCTGTTGACCCATATCCCCCTCTCCTCCACAACAGTCCCTCTGTTGGACCATATCCCTCTCTCCTCCACAACAGTCCCTCAGTTGGACCATATCCCTCTCTCCTCCACAACAGTTCCTCTGTTGGCCCATATCCCTCTCTCCTCCACAACAGTCCCTCTGTTGGCCCATATCCCTCTCTCCTCCACAACAGTCCCTCTGTTGGACCATATCCCTCTCTCCTCCACAACAGTCCCTCTGTTGGACCATATCCCTCTCTCCTCCACAACAGTCCCTCTGTTGGCCCATATCCCTCTCTCCTCCACAACAGTCCCTCTGTTGGCCCATATCCCTCTCTCCTCCACAACAGTCCCTCTGTTGGACCATATCCCTCTCTCCTCCACAACAGTCCCTCTGTTGGACCATATCCCTCTCTCCTCCACAACAGTCCCTCTGTTGGACCATATCCCTCTCTCCTCCACAACAGTCCCTCTGTTGGACCACATCCCTCTCTCCTCCACAACAGTCCCTCTGTTGGCCCATATCCCTCTCTCCTCCACAACAGTCCCTCTGTTGGCCCATATCCCTCTCTCCTCCACAACAAAAAAAAATTCCCCTGGTGGCCCCCATCCCCCCTCTCCTCCACAACAGTCCCTCTGTTGGCCCATATCCCTCTCTCCTCCACAAAAGTCCTTCTGTTGGCCCATATCCCTCTCTCCTCCACAACAGTCCCTCTGTTGGCCCATATCCCTCTCTCCTCCACAAAAGTCCTTCTGTTGGCCCATATTCATCTCTCCTCCACAACAGTCCCTCTGTTGGACCATATCCCTCTCTCCTCCACAACAGTTCCTCTGTTGGCCCATATCCCTCTCTCCTCCACAAAAGTCCCTCTGTTGGCCCATATTCCTCTCTCCTCTACAACTGTTCCTCTGTTGGCCCATATCCCTCTCTCCTCCACAACAGTCCCTCTGTTGGCCCATATCCCTCTCTCCTTCACAACAGTCCCTCTGTTGGACCATATCCCTCTCTCCTCCACAAAAGTCCCTCTGTTGGCCCATATCCCTCTCTCCTCCACAACTGTTCCTCTGTTGGCCCATATCCCTCTCTCCTCCACAAAAGTCCCTCTGTTGGCCCATATTCCTCTCTCCTCTACAACTGTTCCTCTGTTGGCCCATATCCCTCTCTCCTCCACAACTGTCCCTCTGTTGGCCCATATCCCTCTCTCCTCCACAACAGTCCCTCTGATGGCCCATTTCCCTCTCTCCTCCACAACTGGTGGGAGAACTGAAATCTTATGAATGGAAGGGGAAGGAACAGGGACAGTCAGGCTGGGGAGGTAGGAATAGATAATGCTGGATGTCCTCCAGCCAGGAAATTAGGCAGGTTCTATCTGACTGGCTGCAGCTTCTAATGGACAGTGTGAGACACCCCCTTGGTGCAGTGGAATCAGAGTAAGGAATTTCAGTCCAGGAGAGGAGCTGCTACAAGACTGAAGGGAAGGACGGAATTCAGCTTCATAATTTTTCAGTGAGCACAATAGAGAAAACTCAAGCCGGCCGCATTCTCTGGAAGTTCAGGCCTCGGCCCATTTCCTGCAGAGACTCCTTCATGTAATTGCTGGAAAATGTGTTTTTCTTTGGAGCGCCTCTGTGATAATAAAAAGACGTTGTGTGAAAGTCACAGTCTGACTTATTTCTTTGATTTATGTGTCAGACACTCTGGTGGAGCATGTTCTCCGTGAAATTCTTCGAATGCTGCTCTCCGCTTCCTCCATATTTTATCAGGCCTGGAACATTGCGGATTATGTCCGTCTGTCATCGCAAGTCCCAGCTCGCTGATTTAGAGTTCTCCATTCTGCCCAACAATCCTTCCCGGATTTATTTATTAAGGTCAGTCAGGCAATGGGCTTTCATTTGCCAATTTTTCCTTCTTCTGCTACAAAACTCGTCTTTTACCCGAGAAGAATATAAATAGGACAGCAAAGAAATTGAAGGAATGTTCTCAAGCAAAACTGCAGAATCCACAATTTTATCTGAAGGAAACCACTACAAAGATTTTGTTAATTTGTAAGTGAGCAATCGGGGAATTGCAGATATTGTCACAACTTTGCTACTTAGTATGAGGACACCTCTCCGAGGGTCTGAGTTCAGGTATCTCCAGTGAAGGTTCTGAGTTCAGGTATCTCCAGTGAAGGTTCTGAGTTCAGGTATCTCCAGTGAAGGTTCTGAGTTCAGGTATCTTCAGTGAAGGTTCTGAGTTCAGGTGTCTCCAGTGAAGGTTCTGAGTTCAGGTGTCTCCAGTGAAGGTTCTGAGTTCAGGTGTCTCCAGTGAAGGTTCTGAGTTCAGGTGTCTCCAGTGAAGGTTCTGAGT